TTCCGTCACTATCAGTGGCTTATTATGTTCTTCAGTGTTACCGTGTTTATGTCGCGTGATTATTTTTTTGTATTTTATATTCTGTCAAACATTCCTTACTCGTTTACCTTGTAGATTCTCTTCTTCTTCCTTTTCTTCGCCTTAATCCCAACTATTTGGGGTCGGCCACCCTTATCCTAAACTTCCACTTGACACGATCTCTCTCATCTACGCTCACATCAGCTGTTCTCATATCGCATTCAATTACATCCCTCCATCTCTTTTTTGGTCTTTCTCTACCTTCAACATTAATTTCTATAACTGTTCTTACGGCTTCCGATTCCTTTCTCTTCATAACATGACCAAACCATCTAAATCTATTTACCTTTTTGATTGTATATTTTAATTTAACCGTCCCCCATTATCACCAGTTTACGTTTTGATCTTGCGCCCGTTTCACTTTACGTCGTTCCTTTCTGTCGTGTTACCGCCGACTTTACCTCGTGCACATTTTAATATTAATAATTAATAATCATTACTTTATCATGTTTTCTTATTAATGAAACACTGAAACTCCTTTAGCGTGAATGCCATTAAAATTCGTGTTTCATTATTTAATTGTTTTATATAATATCGTAAATCGAATTCTTTGAGAGTTATCAGATCACAATAACCTCAAAATATGGAATAACAGTAGGCTTACTTTGTTTATGTCCACAACAATGGTTTCTTACTTTACTTTTACGTTTAAGATCATCAACATTTCTATTTATACATTATATTTTTTTACTTAGAATAACATAATTCTTTTCAAACAAAAAAACTTAAATAAACAACTTGGAGAAATATTCAACAAACGCATACTGTTTAGTTATATTATAATATATACGATTCAATCATAAATCAATTTATTGTGACTTTTAAAATCCTTATTTCCCAGTTGACAACTATAAATTATATTTGTCATCATATTTATTCTAATTTTAATAATTAAACGCATTGTATCAACCTTAATCTTAAGTGTAAAAAAGGACTAAATAAATTTTATGTAAAATATCAAAATGATTTGTATGTTATTCATCTGTAATCATTTGTATATTTTATGCTTTCTTATTAATAAACAATAATATTGTAAGAATAAGACAATGATGATTTTCGGGGATATAAAGTATTATAAAAAGGCAGAGCAATCTCTTGTACAGGTCTGTTCTTATCGTTCACTAGACAACGTTAAGCGAACACTAATCATCATTATCATAGTTTTTACGTATTTAAGTTGTGAACTAAATCAAATTGTGTCATTTTATTTATCGATCATTAAATAATACTATTATTTAAGATATTTTAACAACCAAGAAAAATTATCAAGTAATATTTCAAGTCGATAAGAATCAATATTTATATTATTTTATGACCCACAAATCACACCCCGAATTATTGTAACTCGTCACTTGTATCAAATACCTTCTAATATTCTATTATTTTATTACAATTTTAATCAAATAAACTAGTATATAATCCATTTTTATTTATTTAATTAAGTTTTGAGTTACGAAACTTATAAGGAATAAGGGTGGACCAAAAACAAATTTAACCACTTATTAATCAATAGATAAATAGTACTATATTAAGCAACTTTTATTTTAGAAGAAGTTTAGTAATAAACTATAAATTAATCACCCGTATTTAGTTTCAAAAAACTGATTGAAATGACTTTACAACACATAAAATGTAGACAATTATGTGTAATTGTTACACAAAAACATATTTTAAGTTAGTATAAAAATATTTAAATATATGATTAAAAATTTTTGTTCTACTTCCAGCTATTTCAAAAGGTTCTGTAACACTTTTCTAAGCTATAGTCTTGCGTAAAATTAATGAGGTATAAATTTTCACAGAACTATCTAATTTATCTTGCTGCTCTGTAGATTTTGATTTCATTTTCATCTCTAATTTTATTGATAGACAAAATTTATTGAACTACAAAACATTTGTATAAAGGACATTGTCATAGTTCAGTATTGAAATTCCTTAAAAAACCATTAGAAGACTTAACAGATTATTTTATGTAAAAATGTTCTTAATAGCAGATAAAAGGTCATAACATTGTCATGCAGTTTTGATATACAATTGTCATTATTAGATATGCTTAATAAATGATACACTCAATTTTCAATACCTATCATATATGATAATTTTTCATTTATTATTTTAAACTTAGCTAATTTTAAACAAAAGAAAAACAAATTTTTACTTGTTATTTAAGTACTGTAACTAAATAGTTGTTTTAAATTGAGCAATTTATTCATCAATATTTAAATTTTAAATTTACTGTAACCAAAAACTAGAACCCAAAAATTATAATAATTATAAATAGTAGCATAAATAAGTAAATAAGTCTTCTTCTTCCTCGCCTTAATCCCAACTACTTGGGGTCGGCCACCCTTATCCTAAACTTCCACTTGACACGATCTCTCACATCCACGCTCACGTCAGCTGTCCTCATATCGCATTCAATTACATCCCTCCATCTCTTTTTTGGTCTTTCTCTACCTCTTCTTTCTTCAACATTCATTTCTATAAGTGTTCTTACAGCTTCCGATTTTCTCTCATTTTATCCACGATTGACGCTACACCTATACTCCCTCTTATATGCTCGTTCCTTATCCTATCTTTTCTAGTCACTCTACTCATCCATCTAAGCATTTTTCATCTCTGCTACATTCATTCTCTGATCTACTTCCTTATCAACCGCCCAACACTCTGAACCATACAACATAAGACTACAGTCTTGTAGAATTTACCTTTCAGCCTCATTGAAATTCTTTTATCGCATAAGAGTGGGGCCAGGAAATGGCTAGTGATAAAAATAGCATCCACTCTTCACCGTCAGTTGTTACTTTTAATTTTTTATAACTCAGAAGTACTGATCTAAAAGTTGTATAGACCAGTAATTTCATTCATTAGATCAGTGGCGACTCGTGGCTTGGACAACAGGACGATCGCACCCCTCCTAAAAATTAATTAAAAGAAGAAAATTAATTGTATATTCTTAATTCTACATTTTAATTAAAAATGTAAATTTTTAAATAGTAAAATAGTTATAATACATTTTTCGTGTGCGAATTAGATTATTATATATTTTATAATCTATTTATACATGTATGTTGCCACAAAAAAAAATAAAGTGACACCCCTTTAAGTTATAAGGGGTAATTCTAAAGAGTAATTATTAGCTGATTAATCAAAAATTATTTTTCAATACTGTATTTATTTTGTGAGTTATCGAGTGGTTCATGATGAAGCGATCTACCTGTATAATTTTGTATGGAGCTCAGTTTTTACTAGTATACTAAATATACACTCTGACTAGGTGGATTATGCATTATACATTTTATAATTTATACTCATTTTTTACTACTCAACACTCTGAACTATACATCATAGCTGGTCTCACTACAGTCTTGTAGAATTTACCTTAAGCCTCATTGAAATTATTTTATCGCATAAGACGCCAGACGCTTCTTTCCACTTCAACTACCCGCACTTAATTCTGTGTTTTACATCCTCGTCAATAACACCGCTCTTTTGCACAACTGACCCTAAATACTTAAAACTTTCCACCTCTCCAATTATGTCCTCGCCTATTGTCACTGATCTCCTCATTTCACCTACCTCGTGTTCTCCTTTGTCAAACTCGTACTCTAAATAAACCCTTTTCTTCAAGAGCTGATCTCCACACCTCTAGCCTTTGATTAATTTCATCCTTATTTTCTCCTATTAACACTATATCGTCAGCAAACAACATGCACCAAGGCACCTCTCCTTGTATTACACCACAACTCTATTATTATCAGTCTATGTTGTGTAGAAGTAAGTAAATAGGTAAGCAGAAAAAAACCTTATCACATGAAAAATTATTTATTAAAAATAATTTTTAATAATTAATATCAACATTAAAACTTTGAGTATTCTTAAATGTAACTAATATAAACAAAAAAAATTATAAATAAATAATTAGCATACTATTATTATTTTTTAAATATTAAAAAAAGTCCTTACAAAAATAACAGTGTTGCCAGAATGATTATTTAATAAAAATAAATTCACAATTATTTTTGGTAAAAAGTACACAAAATTACACTGTCTTTTAAGTAACCAGTTTTTAAGTTACAACTGTTTTTTTAAACTAGTTTTAATGATGTATATTTAAGTACAAATAAAAACGTACAATTTTTTCATTGAAAATATAAATTATTACAAACCATTTAATTACTGAAATTTACAGTCAGTTTATAGACAATTTTTTTTTTTTAATAAAATTATTTGTTCAATAATATTAATTAATTTTAAATAACATGTATGACACCTGATAATAATTTACAGAGTATTTTTTTTTAACTAACCATTGAGGTTCTTAAATAGGTTAATCAGATAAACAAATAAAAATTTAATAGATTACAGTCATTAAATGAATAATACAATAATAATCATTTTAATATAAATGTATGTTTACATTTGTATTAATAAATATTAAATACACATTGGTAATAACTAAGTAAACAACTGAAAAATAATTATAGATTTCAGACTAGATTTTATATGTGCTATAATCAAATTTGGGTTCCATAAAAATAAATATTTTGATCTTTTACAATCCAAATATAGGTAACAAATATTTAAGTCTAATTATTGTCTATTTTATTAAGTATAAAATTCTGACAATTATTATGTAAGTAAATTTCCATATAGTATTAAAAATGTAAGTACTTATAACACACATACACAAGTACAACTAAGTTAAAAATTATTCCTGAACACATAAAACATATTAATTATCAAACATCATAATAAAACAAAAATTTAACATATTTAAAACATAAAAATATAAGTAACCAAATTTTAATAAAATGAAAAATATAAAACAAAAATAAAATTATTAACTTTCAATAAATTGTGTGCATTTTCAAGATTTTGGAATGTAATTAATTGTTATTTATTTTTTTCACATGCTTGCATGTAACACAAAAATTAACTATAACAGTATTTCAACAATTTAAAATTTGGAAATTTTAAAATAGCAATAAAAATTTATTCAAAATTACAGTTCATAGAAGGATAAACAAATAATCAATGATTTAAGAAAGATATGCAATGTATGAATTTGTCCCAAGAAAAGTACTACCAGAATTTAAATAAAAAATTCTGATTAGTTCAGACAATAATTTTACTTTTCAAGGCCAAACTTTATTGAATAGGTCCATAAATGAGTCATATATCATGAATGTTATTCCCACATCCAAGCAAACTCTACTCAGCCGTGGAACAGTTCCTTTGTAAAATCTATTAACATTCATAAATAATTAATATCCAAGCTGCTAATATTTAATTAGACGCTACAAATATTATTAGTAAGTGAAAAAAATAATAATTTTAAATCTAAGTTATAACTAAAATATCTCTACTATAATATTTTGAATGCATATAAATATGCACTACATATTATAACACAATAAATACATTATTGAATATTAAATTATAAAATAGTTGAGTTAACAGTTTATACATTGTGTGCAAAATTATATGAATTTATAAATTTTTTTTAAGCCAACTTGATGGGTCAGTTTGTGCTATTTTGTCATAAAATTATATAGTAGCTTAGAAATATTTTTTATTTTAGGGGTAACTTAACCTCCCCCAAATCCCTTCCAAAACATAGATAAAAACACATTACTAAGTTTTTAAATAAATTAATGAAAATTAGTACTGGCTGATGTTCGGAATATCTTAACAAAATTTGTAAAAGCATATAATTCCACGCTCTATTTATAAATATGTAATTGCACTCATTATTTACAAGAAAAGAATAATTTTTAAGTATAACTAGTGAAATCTAGTAACTTACGCTGTAGGGCCTTCATTTTTCCAAATTTTAACCATACAATCAAGTGTGCTTTTATACTTTTTAGCTTCAAGACCTTGCATACGTGTTTTTACAACATCTAATGGTGTGTTTCCATATACACTGGCTGCGCCTGCAACCATTCCAAAAACACCAACTAATAGCTTTGGAACTGGTTTGTTTGGATCATCTCCCTTATACAGATTTTTTAAAGCACCCATTACATAAAATCTTATAGCTTGGTTTGTACCTTGTTTTAATATCGTTGGCATTAGTCCTTGATAAACTCCACTTATACCTGAATAATATACTATCATTATTATTTATATAAAAAAAATTTGACTATTTATTTAATATATATTTTAAAAATATTATTATTAACTAATTCTTAAGAATTCAATTGACCTTGTTCTCTGATAATAATACTGGTGCCATGGAAAAAACCTTTAAATCTTGGTTTCTCAAGTCGTTGATCATTAATGAATTTGACTTTCACTGTTTCCATTGGGGTAACAGCAAATATGGCTTCAGAGATTCCTGCACCAAGACCACATAATATCCTTTGTGTAGCTGTCAACTCTCCGCCACTACTGTTTATCCTAGTACTAAGAGCTTCAAATGCTCCAAATCTAATTTAAAAATATTTTATTAGATGAGAACATTTTTTGGCTTATTAAACAGTTATCAAGATTATTTACCTTACTGCTGATTTAGGTATTGATCCATATAGTAAAACACTCAATCCCCGATAAAGTCCAAAAACTCCATGGCCTTTAATAGTTTTTTTTATACAATCTCCAATTCCATTATATTTTTTGGCACCAGCTTTTTCGTCTAGTTGTAATTGTGTTTTGACATATTCAGTTGGATATGTAATACATATCTCAATACCACCAGTTATTCCACCTAAAATTAAAAATATTTAATAACAATAAAAATGAGTTAAATATTTAGATAGATTCAAATGATTGTAAAAACAAAACAAAAATAAACATCGATTGGGAAAAAAATCATGATATTTATTATAACTTAGGTTATAGCTTATTTATGTTTTATAAATTATGTTGTTGACTTCAAAAATGTATACACTTTTGAATAAATAATAAGTTTATTGGTTTCTTATTAGAATTGACATAAAACCTTCAAAAATATTTTTGCATAGGTATTTTTTTGAGCATAGTATACAATTCAAATGCAGTCAGCCCTGAAGTTCAGATTTGCCTGCCAGTGTTTATTGTTATATTGGTTTATCAAATATGAGCGATGTCAATCATTATGACCTCTAATATAAAGATAAATGGGAAATCATTATATTTCATACTTTCCCAGGATATATTAGTCCATTTTATAATTACCTGGTGTCAACCAACTTAAGGGTTAAAAAAAAATTTGTGGTCAGGTACATGCAAATTATTCTGTAAGATTTGCAAACCACAGAGCAAAAATAACAATGACATCATCTTATTTTAGGAAGACTTAAGGAAATATTACTCTGTAAAGTTTTAAGGTAAAAACTAAATACCAGCTTGCTCTCCTTTAAGGACAACCCTAAGCAGTGGCCTAATCAGGATTTTTGCTTGGGAAAGCTAATGACATCTTATTAAGTTCCATATTTTTTTTATTATAAGAAACTCATGGAATATTTTGACTCAGTAATCAAATAAAAATGTTATATTTAACACATTTTTTTCTTAGGAGCATTATGGCAAATGTTCACCTTACTGATAATATAATTTATGTATATATAATTAATTTATTACAAAATCAATTGGAGAAAAACTGTAATAAGAAAAATATGGTAATATATAACTTATAGCTAAATAATTTCACTAATGAAATTATTTGATTTCAGTAAGAAGTTGCATAAGCATTTTACAAAATTCAAGGTCATAGAGTTTATGTTCTAAATGACCTTTCCAGTAATTTAAATATTATATTAATAGAATGATTAATTAAACTAAAACTGCAGATTAAACATTTTTATTTTCGATTTTTATATTCTAATATTATAAAAAGTAATCTACCAATTCATGACACATATTAGAAAGGATTATATGTGAAAGATTAAAATTGTTGCAATAAAATAATAGAAATATTCAACATTAAATATTAAAAGACACTTCAATAAAATAACTATGTTTAGCTAAATAATCTCAATGACAAAATTTAGTGGCATATCATATTTTAATATTTTGAAGTTCTGTATTATTGTACATTACATTTTTCAAAACTTAAATTATAATAATAGTATAATATATATAGTTGATGACAAACCTTATAATTCCTTACTTAAAACCTCTGCTTTAGAGACCCTTAATGAAATTTTATAAGTAAAAAAATAAAAATCTATTTAATAAAATTGAATTATACATATATATTTTTTTAATAAAACAGTAATTTTATGACAAACATATTGTTTTAATTTCAGTACTCATTTATAGTATAGAACTATTTATCTGTATGGAAATGAAAATAAACAGTTTAATATAAGCTAGAATGTAAGTATATTGTTCAAAATTCAATTAATTTATTTTAGTATTTTTTGTTGTCTAATTTTTAGTCGAGTAACTTAGGTTTATGGTAAACTTTACTTCAAAAAAAATTCTAAGTTTTTACTTAAGTTTTTTAATATGTGCTCACATTTTTTTTACATTATATAACCAACCAGAAAGTTTGATAAATATCAAAACATGTTTGACTAGTTATTGGTATTTAAATGTTTCTTGTGAGTTTCAACCCGAAAAAAAAATAAAAACCAATGATTTATATTACATTAAAAATAAAGTATATTATTATTGATAAATTGTAATTACACAATTTAAATGCAAAGAAAATTCACTCTAAGATTCTATAGTTAAATAATTAATTAACATATGTATTAAATAATTTAAATTTCTCACCAGCTACTATTCCTTTAAAGCCTTTATTTGAACCAGCTGGTGCAGCTGCTCCATAAGTAGTCATCAATGGTCGATAAAATGGACTCACAAAAGTATTCTTTCCGTCCATAGCAATAACAATAATAAATAATATACAAATAAAGAATTAATTAAGTGTTACACTAGATAATTTTAATAAATTATTAAAACAAAATCAGAATTCAATAAAAACTGTTTAAGAACAGAATTTGTGAACTACAACATTCACAACCATAACTCCGTCACTGACCGGGCACAACTGCACCAACTACCTGGCATATAACATACTACTGTATTCTTAGTTTTTACAAATTAAGCTAGTGGCTACGATTGTTGATAGTCGATAGAGTATTTAAGTTTTCACTGTTTCAATAATAACAGTCATTGCCCTACTCTTTAGTCTGTAACCTAAGCGGAATTTATTATCTAACTAACATAGTTCATGATAATAGATCAGCTGCAAGCTTCCAAGGTCATGCCAAGTACAATAACAAAAATGATAGTAAAAAATTTTCTACATATTTACTTTCTTCGATTTTAAGAAAGGCTTGAACTTCAATAAAAGTGAAAAAATCCTTAAACTTTTTATTTTATCATAATGTTATAAATTATCTAATAAGCATTTTTCACAAAAATATTATGCTGCATAACCGTTAATCAAATGACCTAATGTCCTTCTCAAATTACATTGTTATTGTCCTTAGGAATTTCAATAAATAAAAACTAGATATTTATGTACATTAATTTAGCATTAAATAATTATGTTAATCAAAGTTGTAGCCGCATAAAAGAATTACATAATCCCTCTCTGAAAGTTTCACTTACGTACAAAACATTGTCGTTATTATAATAAAAATTAGATGTATTTAAAATACTCTTGATTAAAATTTATTATTATTATTATTGTTTAAGTATTCACTATAATGGTTATTAGATAACATTAAAAAAAAATGTGCATATATTAAGTTATATTAACATTATTTACAATGATGAAACAAATACAATATGAAGATATAAAGGTGCTGTATGTAGTGATACATTACATTGGAGTTATATTTTATTGAATTAATTGATTTCTTTAAGAAATAATAAGGTTTTTTGGCAATTCTCTTTTTTAAGCAGACGTTTTCGTAAAGCTTTGAGAAAGACTAAAATTTATTCTTTTATCGCTATAATTTAAATAGGATTTAATAAGTTATAAGTTAGTGTTTGATAGTATTTTATTATTCAAATTCTAAAAAATGTATTTTTTGCTCATCAACTTAGATTGCGGGGCACACACTCTACTCTTTTCTCCAACACTGTCCTACAATCAATTTTCACTTACCCCCTGATATTTCAATTTCTTTTAGTTCGATTATACATAAAAAGAAGTTCGGCTTAAGTTTCGAAAAAAATTTCGACATTCTATGCATATTATTTTTGGCATTTGGATCGAGTCCAAATATCAAATAGTTCTTTCATTTCTTCTAAACTTCATGGATATTTTAGTTGTTTACAATCCTTTCTACCCTTCTAGTTTGTCGTGTGAGTAAATCATTTAAGTTTCTCGGATATTTATCTTGGCTTCAAGACTGCCAAATTATACTGAATAACAAATACAAGATAATTATTGTTTAAAATTGACTCTGTATAATAATCCTTATAATAGACAATTATATTCTATTTGTTTACAAATTAATTTTTTGCAAAATTCTCTAGTAAAAACTATTAAAACTAAATTAATGAAACTTTCTTGGCTTAACATTTAGTATTGCTTATTTACGTTTGTATAAAAATCAGAAAAATGGAAAATTTTGATTGTATCACTATGTTTCATAAAAGGCAATATTTGAGTAAAGTCAATTTATATTTTAATTATAAAATTTTATATATATATTATTACTATGATGTAGAAAATATATTTTCTTTTAGATAAATATTTTTCTCTATTTATCAATCTTAGAGTTCGGAATTATAAGTTTAGATATTGTAAAAACACGTATGCAGGCACGTAGACATGGGTAGGCCTGGGTGGGCCTGGCTCCCCTTAGATTTAATGTGGCCCAGGGCCGGCCCCCCCAAATTTAAAATTCAATTATTTTTACGAATCATCAAAAACGTGCTAGACCTTATATACATTGAAATTATTATTAATTTGTGATTACTATTGAGTAATACAGTTATTATTATGGCTGTATTTTTATTTTTATATTCATAGAAAACGTTATTTGAAAAAGATAACGCTCTAGACGTAATAATAAATTGAGTAGCAGTTACTCCAAACGTGGTTGTAGGTAAATTTTTTTTAACTCTAGTCCAACAAATTATAACAAACTACCAAGTATCTGCATTGATTAGAATCTAGTTGATTACAAAATTCGATAGAGTAATACTCTATGAAAATTTTTTTGATAAATCTTATCTTTAATTTGTTTATTTTTTTATAATTTAGTAGTTACAATAAGTAATATTTTTTTTTTGTTAATTTGTTATTTGCGTGCTCTAAATAACAGTAATAAAAATATGACTAAAAAAAGGTAGGAATTGTTTTTTATTTAAATTAAAATAATTTTTACATTGTTTATAATTTATATTTATTTTAAAAATGTTTATAACTTATTTGTTATTAGTATTTAGGTATAAATTATTTTTTCTTAATAGCTTAAAAGTTGAAAAATTAAATCAGCTTATATTCACATCATTATTTTATTAGCTTCGATGCGAAGCTGAGAAGGTATTGGTTTTACTATGATGTGTTTTTTTATTTTTTTTGTGTCTGTTACCACTTTTTCTCAGTCTCGCCGAACCGATTTCTTTCAATGATACATCAAAAGATCACAAATCGTATCTAGTCGAAGACATTACCCTCAAAAATTGAAAAAATTTCCCTTGTTCTCCGTCAATGGAGGAAACCCCTCAAAAAATAACAAATTTAAAAATCGCTAATTTTTGAAATTTTTTAAATTTTTTTTACTTAAAATTGCCATAACTCTTTTATATAGATGCATGATATCGTTACATTTCATTTGATATATTTTTTTTATAAATTTGACCCTTTACCTGCCCACGGGGGGGATTTAAAATGACAACTTTTTCCACTTAAATTTTTAAAATGTTGCGGAGTCTGACACTTATTTATATTTTAAATTAAAGCTAATGTAATGTACTTTTTTATTTAAAAAAATTTCGGACTTTATTTTGTCTTCACGGTGAAAATGGCTACCAAATGCTATTTTTGTGTGAAAATTCTCGATTTTGTATTTTACATTTTTAACTTAATAATGCTATAACTTTTTGAAAAATGTATGGATCAACACAATTTTTTTATGAGAAATAATATTTTTTAATAATCCCTTTTTCATTCGACGTACTTTATCTTAATCGAGATATTAATAAGGAACCAGCAGATCAAGTAGCTTTTGGAATAATCCACCAATTTTTTAAAAATAAACACAAATTTTGAACTTGTAAGATTCATAAAATGGGATACTTTCTAAGGAGGAGTGGAGGGAGCCCCCCACAAGCTTTTAATGGGAAACAAATTATGGAAAATGATACAAGAGCCCAAAATTGTTGGCCCCTCCAATAAACATTTTCTGGCTACGTGCCTGCACGTATGCAAGGTCTTGAAGCTAAAAAGTATAAAAGCACACTTGATTATATGGTTAAAATTTGGAAAAATGAAGGCCCTACAGCGTAAGTTACTAATTTTCACTAGTTATACTTAACAATTTTTCTTTTCATGTAAATAATGAGTGCAATTACATATTTATATATAGAGCATGGAATTATATACTTTTACAAATTTTGTTAAGTTATTTCGAACATTAGCCAGTACAAATTTTTATTAATTTATTTGAAAACTTAGTAATGTGTTTTTATCTATGGTTGAGAGCGATTGTGGGGAAGTCAAGTTATACTAATAAGACTTATAAAAGAATTAACTTTATTATTTCAAAGGGCAACATACATAATTAATTAGCTCATTTAATATATAATGATCTAATTAAGAAAATGACTGGTCAGTAATAACTTTTAGACGAATAATCGAATTGTATTCGATAGTTTTTTAAACTATTTGAATTGTTTTTATACAACCGAATAGTTTATTTTTAGCATAGACTATCGAATAGTTTTTGAATGACTATATATTTATTATACATATTATATAAAAAATTATCTTGTCTATTCTGTGATAATATTTTTGGATGAAATATAAGTTCTCCCATAATCATTAATAACATTGATAGTGTGATGGTGTTTGATAACATAAAAATTTTATTAAACGCTACTGATAACGTCACAGAACACTAACAATGGATAACGATAACGTATAAAAAAATTAATTAAACCTTGCACAATATTTACATATTTTTATATAAAATACGTGTTTGTTCTTAGTTGAATCATATTATAATAATATTACTATCCATAAAAAACATACCTGAAATTATTTAAATATGTTTATGACAAAAATTAAAAATCATAATGAAAATAAAGTAAATATGAAAGAGAAAACATCTGCTCAACTTCTTGAGTTATTGGAAAGACAGGATAAACTATTAAAAAACAAGTATTGCTTATAATTACATTTAACTATAATTTAATTATAAATTATTAATTAAATTTAGATGAACGCATATTTACAAATATTTTTCTATATTACAAATTTGATTAAAATATTTTTTTTTAAAGAAAAAAAGTATTGTTTATTGTGTTTTATTATTAAAATCAGGTTACCTTTAATAATGATCAACAAAGATTGTTGATCATTATTAAAAACAGTATTAAGTATAGGAATAATTTTAGTAGCAACAAAAGATTCAAAAGGTTAAATAAATTGGAGAAGTCTTATAATATAAGATTGATTACCACCCTTAAATTTAAAAAATTCAAAATATATTTTCCACATAATAGGAAAAACACCCATAGAAAGCGAAAGATTAATAAATATATTGTTACTGGAGATAAAACAAATTTACATTGGACAAAAAAGTAACTAGGATTAAATTTCAACTAAAGTTCATCTAACATGTTAAATACATCTAAAGATATGGATATTCATTAAGGATATGTTCTATTGGATAATGCTTAAATAAGAGACCTATGACGAATTGAAGAAGTAAAATCAGAAAAATATTTTATACGTTATCTCTATATCTTTTCAATCAGACCCTGTTTCCTAAAAACATTCAATAAAAAATTAGATGTAATTCCACATGTACTGAACTAGAGGCCAAAGATTTCATTATTGGACATTTTTTTTATGAGAAAGGACACGAGTCACTTTTTGGCATCTTTCAAAAGATACAATGTGGATATACAATTTAATTTGATTTAATAAAAATTATTTTTGAATTTTCGGTACTTAGATCACTTGGTCCTGCTACACCTCATATTACATCTTCTGAAAGTGTGTGTTTTATCTTTATTTTAATACATTTAATGAATGTTTGAATTTTAACATATGAAATATTCAAGGAAAAAATATAAGTAGTCAATTTTTTTTCATTTTGACTTCTAAGCTTCAAAGCAAAATCCATTTGATGAAAAATGTTTTTATTTTACTAATATTAAAGTGTCAATTTATGTTTTAAAAGGATAGAAATTAATAATTTTGTTTTTGCTTTCTTGAAAAATTTACATAAATAGATAATTACTATTTTTCTCTGTAACATGTTATACTAACATTCTAAGCCAAAATCAATTTTTATATCAAAATATTTGTAACTTTAAGGCATATATTTTTATTTAGAAAAAATAGTGCATGTGCAATGTATATTATAGTAAACATGGTTAAATATTTACATATTTTCAAAAATATAAATAATAATAAGTTAAATAAATGTATCAATCATATAAATATATAATAGTAACTGACTATGTGAAATTATATCATAATTTCACTTAAGTATTTAACCATATCTAGTATTTTTTTATTATTCAATATAATAAAATAATAAATTTTTTTTTTTTTTCAAAACTACTTCTTTTGTAATTACTCTGTCTTTTGGTTTAGGAGAGTAGTAATAAACAAATGTAATCATTAAACTGTAAATAACATTAAATAATTCCTTTCATTAATGATTTGATTTGATCATTACCTTAAAATGAAACTAATTTGATAATATTAACCAAAATTTAAATAATATTTTGTCTTATTAAATTTTTTGGTAGCTTTATGCATAGGTAGATTTATAACTGATCTTTTATTAGGTTTTGCCTTATATATTTTAACTGTTTTTATTCATTATATTTATCAAAGTAAAAGGTTGCTTGATTATTACAGTAGTCAGTACTCTATGATAATCGGTTAATTTATGAAAAAAATTTTTCTTTAGACATTTTTTGGATACACTTCCAGACAAAGGAGAAAAAGTCAAAAATTTTTGTTCTCAGATTAAAGTAGAATTAGAAAAACGTTATGAACACGATAAATTATGTGAAGATTTGTCTGAGTTAAACATTGGTAAAGATCAGTTGGATACACTTGAATGGTCTAGCAAACATGAACCTTACAGTCAACAGACTAATAGTAAAAAAAATGTTGATGATACTGATGTCTTGAGAATACTTACTTCACACTCTGGAGTTTATCAAGATAAATTAATTATTAAGTAAATAAATAACTATATATCTATTTTACATAATTTCATCACAAATGAACTAAAAACATGAATTTATCTTATGGAAACATATTTTTATTTCAGAGAAGAACCTGAAGAAGTTTTCATAAAACCTTCAGATTTAATTGATATTTTAACATCAAATGAAAACAAAAAATTAGAAGACCCTCAAGAATTTCAAGAGCATGTAGAAAGATATGCTAAAAATTTATGTGGGCGAATTGATACAAATTCGCCCAAATTAACTCGTTTTTTACCAAATAAACCAATAAAATGCAAAGAAAATTGTTCTAAAATTACTACTCCTATAAGTCTTAAAGAGTCTGTAACCTTACAATTAGTCCAGGAAAATAAAATAAAAGTAAAACACTTATACATATTTTCTTATTCAATACTAAATATATATTTTTGTTAAGGAAATAAAATCAGAACAATCTATTAGAAGAATTGTTCCAGTATATTCATTCAATACTAGCAGTTATCGTGAACCCAAAGCAACAGATTTCGTTGATTTTTTTGAAGATGAAGAAGATGATCTTGAGAATGAAGATTTAAATGAGTCAATAGATAATTAAAATTGAATGTAATTATTTTTTTGCTTTTTTACGTTGAGGTTGTGATAAAAGATCGTTTGAACTTTGATCATTTTGTGGTTGTAATTTATATGTATTAGAAGTATTATTGTCATTGACATTTGATGACGGAACACTAAATTCTGGAATTTTAGGTTTCACTAGCTTAAGTATAATTCTTTCATGTTGAACGTTACTACTATCAAGACTTAACTGAACACTAACTGGATCAAATGTTCGAAAAACAACTTCACCACATCTCTGAGTTTGTTCCTAAATTAAAATATTAAAAATGTATTTTTGTATTATAAATTAAATAAATATTACCTCTTCGTTATAAATAAATGTTACTGTTTGTATTTGTCCTTTACGAGGTGCTAGAAACAGAGTACCTTCTAAACCATACTTTGGTATCAGTATTTGTAAAGCATTTTTCCGAACATATAATATGTATCCTTCTTCATCTCTAATTTTTCCACGGAAAAATATCTAATAAAATGTTAAAAAATTATACTATTGATGCTAAAAAATTGAACATTTCTAAAATATATCCAAAATTTTAATAAAAAAAAAAAATTATTTAAATATTATGATTATTGAATAATCATAATAATTAGCAAAAATAAAGGAAGGTACTTAAAATAGTAAACAAATCTTGAAATAATTTTTAATAGTTTGGATTATTTTAATGAAAATTACATGTGTATTTAATGCAACAGAAGCTCGTTCAGCATATGCCGACATCCTAGTCCTAACATTTAAGTTTTGGCATAAAGCTTCAATTTTTCGTTTGTCTAGTAATTCAGGGGTTGTAGTTTCTGCTGCAATAGAAACAGCTAGTAATCTATGAACTAGTATATCTGCATATCTAAAAACAAATCATTTATTTTGAATAAATTTAAATGCTGTATAAGTAATGTAATACCTTCTTATTGGGGATGTAAAATGTGTGTAAATTGGTGCAGCTAATCCATAATGTAAGAATTCATCAAATGGTTTAGTACCACTGGCAAAATAAACAGCTTGCATCATGCATCTTGTAGCTAATATTCGTAGCATAGTGTTGAAAAAGGGATTGTCCAATTTAACTGCTTTGTCCAAAGAATTGGCTAAATCTTTACTAGAGTCAACATTAAGTTCTACTCCCTGAAATACATTAATATTAATTATTATTTTTAAAAATATTAGTTAAAAATATATTAATAACTAACTAAATGAGCAGCAGCTTTAATTAATGACTCAAAATTAGTAGGTGGTGGTTTTGGATGACGTCTTAAAACAGCAAATTCTGGGAAATCCTCATAAATTTTTTTGGCAACTTCTATGTTAGCTAATAACATAAATTCTTCAACCATCGAATTTGTCTCTTTAACTTGTTTCACTTCTACATCTAAAGGGTCACGTGTTTCACTATCCACAAGGAATCGAATTTCTGGTGATGCTAAAACTAATGCTCTGCAATTTTTTTTTAGTCAAAACATTAAATGTTTTAAGTTCTAAAATTAAATGATATTTTTATACTGTACCCATCATCTAAACGTCGCTTTTTAAGTATTTTGGCAAATTTATTAAGTTGTCTTAATGCATTCGCTATTGTAGTGTTTTGTTTTTGATCATCAATAATAAGCTGTGCTTGTTCATATGTCATTGCAGCCTTTGATTTTATGACACTTTTAGTGAAACTTCTATTAACAATATTTGCATCAGGATCCATCTCCCAAATGCAAGAAAATGCTAAGCGTTCTTCTCCTCCACGTAGAGAACATAAATTTGAGCTTAATAGTTCTAATAAACAAATTAATATTTTAAGTGTTAAATTATTTTTTTGATCTTAAGTTTTGACTACATGTCATGAGTACATAGTTTAATACCTTCTATGGTATTACAAATATACTGATAGTAATGTTACAGTCTGTAGTAGATTTAAGTATACAATAATAAGAACTGGTTTGAATTTATATAATTTTTTTGCTAATTTATTTAATATGCATATAACCTGGAACCATATCAATTCGGCGTCCTGTCAAATAAACAGTAGTTGCTCGTTGACTAGCTTCAACATCTATAGCTGAGCCAGGCTTAACAAAATGTGTAACATCAGCAATATGAACACCAACTTGAAAATTGCCATTTTCTAATGGTTTACAATGTAATGCATCATCAATATCGGTACAACCAGGAGGATCCACAGAACAAATATCTAAATCTCGGAAGTCTTTTCTACATGCCAAATCCTAAATAAAATATATTGATACTATGAAAATAAATATTGAGTGTTAGTATAAATTATACACATACAGCAGCCGTAATTAACCAGGGTAACTTTGGTAGGCATTTTAAAACCTGATCAGAAAATTTACTGTGAGGAACATCATGTTCTAATAATATAACTTCATTTTCTGCATCACGTTCACCAATTTTTCCTAAAGATCTTACAAAATGTCCCTAGGATAGACATAAATTATTTAGAAATAAAAATATATTACACAATGTATAAATGATTTGAGATTACTAATGGATATCTTGATGTTCTAGGCCAAGAATCAATTGCTACAATAACACGTTGATCTTTTAATTTGTCATATTGTCTAGTTTCAATTCTAATTTTTGGAATTTTTTTTTCTGCTGGTACAAATAGATGACGTGTAGCCTAAAATTACAATTTATATGTACTAGCAAATAAATAATTTTAAAAATAAATTTAGTGGTTAAAAATCAGTTAATTTTTAAAAAATAAAGGGTAGGAAAACATTATGAATGTTATAACTATAATGTTAAAACAAAATTTTTTTGTTAAAATTTTATAAAAAAAAATATAAGATATTGTTTAACATAATAATACTAATACTACAGATGAAATTATGGGGGGGATATGACATCCATATCCCCCATGACAAAAAATTTAATATGGCAGAAATACAATTTTCTTTTTGTTATGAGTAGGAAGTGAAAAATTTTTGGAAAATGTTTTCCCCATAAGATGCAACCCTAATTATGCCACTACTTATAATGTATAACAATTTTTTTTAAAGCAAAAGTATGTTCTTTTCAAGCTTCTTATAATAGTAAATTATGTTCCAAAATCTTTATAACATTTAATTAATTTTTAATCTAACTTCTGATAAATAATATAAATAACAAAATACATTACATTTTCCACTAAACTGTTTTGAATTATACCACAGTATTGACGCCATTTCTTACGTATAATTCCTACTACTTGACCAGTTGGAAACTTTTCTTTTGGTTTTTCTATTTTATTTAAGTCAAGAGTATCATTATCTAGATCATCTAATAATATTATAAATAACATAATATATTAGTATATTTTTTAAAAGAGTATAATGCATACAAAATATTACCATAGTCTTCTATAACTAAGTTAGCTGGAGCACTCCATTCACTTTCAGGAAATAAACGAACTGCAACTATGTCCCCATTTATAGCACGGTTTAAATTTTCTCGTCCTTGCAACAGTATCTATAATAATAATACATAACGAATTATGTGACATAATTAAATGTAGAGTTAAAAAACCAAAAAATTATAGATACTGATAATTATAGAACTGGGAGAAAAAATTCAGGTATTAACTAAATTGAAATTTAGAATCATCACAATATAAAAATAAAAAAACCCAATAATATTGGCACCCAGCATAATGGTAATCTGGCATAGTAGACTCCAATTTAGATTGAAAATTAACAATGGTTGCCTCACAAACATAAAATGGTTTGTAGCCATTGTTTATAGATTAGAAAATAGAAATTCTACAAATTTTGATTTTAGTTGCTAAATTATTTAAAAAGGAAAAATTATTAAGATATTTCACTTTTTTTTAATCTTTAAAGTACATTTAAAAAGTTTAATTTGGTATTGGTTAACAATGTGGACACTCTGTAATATCAAAATTTGAAATTAAAAAAAGGTTGTGTAAATATGTTGTATTCAAACAGTTCTTGTATTTAAGGTTTTGATAATATTTTTATAAAATGAAAGGAAGATAATTTTCTAAAATATTATTGATGAAAATTTCACTGAGATTTGTGTATTAATGAAAAATATATGTATAATAAAATAAAAAAATTTGGCAAATTTTAATGGAAATTTTTTACTTAAATGACTAATTATTCATAGAAGAAAAATTTTCAGAGCGTTTTTCTTTTTTTAATTTTATAGTACATTAAAAAACCTATAAACTTATATAATTTTGAAGGATAAAAGTTATTCTTGACATTATCAATAACTTCAAAATTGGTCATTTTTACTGAAAATAGCATAATTTTTGAACTAATTCGGATAGATTTTTTTTGTCGTCATAAAATAAATTATATTAGCTTTAGTTTAACATAAGTTTAAAAAAAATAGTTTTTGAAAATTCAAAAATTGAAAAAGAATATAATATGAATGATGTTTAAACATCTTAATACTTCCTAGTTAATGCTTGGATGTATCAAAATAATATGTCAAAATATATTGGAATTGAGGGGAATTTTTCTAAATTATGGTACTGATGCTTCAACTTAATACAATTTGTGATCTTTTGATGCATTGTTGAGCAAAATCAATACAGTAGGAGCTGAGTATTCATATTGACAGACACTTACATAACAACAAATAAAATAATATAGTTAAATCAATACCTTTTCTAGCTACTCATCAAAGTTAAAATTCACATTAGCATAAACTTTGCTAAACTAGCATACCATTCAAATTTTTCAAAATAAAAAATTATTTTATAGATCCTCAAAGTTTAAAAAAAAATTTTAATATTTAAAAACAATCTATACATTTTTTTCTTGTCCTTCAACAAAGACACTTCCTTCAAGAAAATTATCACTGGATGCAAAATATGTGCCTTGCATTAAACTTCCTGATCGTATTCCTTGATGTATTTGAGCTGGTGTGAAATGAGGAGGGAATATAAGTTCTTTGTTGGTTTCTTCAACAATGCAGCTCCTATTTGAAAGTTTGTCAGCTAGTATAATATTGTTCAATCCTTTGATATACTCTTCCACTATAAAAAACACAACTGATAAATATCTTTCTTATAATTTTTGTCTTAATAAGATATAGTTTCTCACAAGACATAGTTGGTATGCCTTCTTCAATAGCTTTAGCTTTACTAGCTTCATCACTCGATAATAATAAAACTTTTATCTTATCACCTAAATGTTTATTGTACCACTGAGCAGCAACTCTTATCATACGATCATTATAGTCATTAGGGCTTTCTCCAGGGGTACGTTCTACATAAGTATCGCTAAATAAAAAACAAAGACAATTATGAATTAAAAAAATTAACTAATAAATTTTAATTATATTTATATTTGAAATGATATGAACCAATTTCAAAAACAATGACTTTAGTACAAGGCCAGAACATGTTTAGGTCCTGTGGACAGTATTATATGAGTCCTGGAGACTTATTTCATGTACCCCTATGATTTGGAATTGCAATTATATGATAAAATTAATACTAACTTTTTTTTTTATATATGTAATACATATTAATTTTTTTTTAGGTAAATTGAATTTATAATACAAATTTACATACTTGTGATAAACATTCACAAAAGTATAAAAACATCTAGAATAATTTCCCATAATATCAAGTAACCGTTTATATACACTGTGACTAAGATGTTTAACTTCTTCCAAAACTGTTTGTAAGATAATAACATTTTTCAATGTTTCATCTTCTAAAGCATCAATCTAAATAAATAAAATATAGATTTTAACAATTAATAAAAATGAAGATTATCCAAAATTTGTATACCTGATGTATAACAACATTAGTATCAACCAATATGTAATGGAGATCCTTATAACTAGAATTTGTGTTTGGTGGATTTTCTTGTAATGGAGTATCATCATTATATTTACATTTTTTACAAATTTGTGAACCACATCCTATGTCATCTCTGAGATAATGTTCCCTGACAATCTTATAAAAAAAAATATATATATATATGAAATTTTTTCTTAAATATTAATATAGCCTGTATGATTAATATAGTTAATTAATTAGTTTTGTGTTTATAAAATTGTGTACAGTAAAGTTACATACTAAAAAATTTTAGTATAATATTATCATAATTTCTTTAAGAAAATTGTTCTAAATTAATAAGTAATATGTTTTTAATATAGTAGATCTTGATTTACTTTTAATATATTCCCACGCTTTGTCTTCCTTAAAAATGATTTAGATGTCACTCTCATGGCTTAAATTATGTTCAAAATTTAAGTGTAAAGTTTACTTTCTTTCAATACGAAAAACAATTCATGATTCCAAATAAATAATTATCACATTAACGTTGTTACCACACATCATTCGGCAAATCAACACATGCGTTTCATTATAGAAAACATTATCATTTATCAGTTAATTTCAAATGGTTTCTTATCTAAAATATAATTTTAACGATAACATATAAATTGATAAAAAATAGAAAATTAAGTTTTACTTGTAAATTATAAAAATTATTATTTATACTATTAATAATTAACCGAACAAATTAAATGTACCTTAACATAATATTTCGAAGAATTATTTTTTAATTTTAAGTCCTTATCTAATAAAAAATTGTAATCTAAATAATATATGTAATATTTTATTAACTTAGGTAAGTTAAAGAATATGCTGTTATGTGTACTATAATTTTAGGTATTACATAATATTTAAAACTATAATTTTAGATATTATATAATATTTAAAATGTTTTAAAAAAATGTTTTTTTTCGACAAACTAATATTCAAATAAATTTAATATGAAATAAAATAAATTCAGTATAAATTAATCAATTTTTTTGTCTCTTCTGTTAAAATAATTCTTATTGAAACTTCTTTATAAAATAAATTTAAACTGTATTTAAATATAATTTAATTGCAGTAAAAATATTAGGAGCAATTGAATTACCTAAATGTAAATTAATTAACCTTTATTGGCTGTAAAATCGTTTATTTAAGTACTAATTTTAATTAAATGTTATTTTAACTTGTAAAATTAATTGAGTTTGTTTGTGGTAATTATGGGTAAACTATATAAAATAAATATATAACTATAAAAATAACTTATCATTATTATAATTTGATGAACAATATTTCAGTATCATTTTAAAATATTTATATCCATGTACATTAAGTAATTTTAAATAAAAATTTTTCTTATGAATCTTGTAATTAGCAGTTAAAATTATTTCTTAATCTGAGTTTTCATAAGTTTGTTTAAAATAATAAAAAAATATATTTAAAAAAAATTATTGTTTTAGTATTAGTTATATAGTATAATTTAAATTTTACAATTTTGTCGTTATAAATAATGAAAATCTCATAATATTATAATATTGTGTTGTATTACAGAGAAAAATTATTTCATATAATCTATTATAATCATAATATGTAATAATATTGTGTCGTTATTGTATAAAATATATTTAACTAATTATTTAAGGTCAATGAAAATTAACAAATTTAATTTTACACTGTAAGGTACAAACAGAAAAAAAAATTTTGATAACTAATCAAGTCATATACAGAGTGTTTTTTCATAATAAACTTATTGAATTATTTCATTATTTACTCATCTGCAAATTAAGAGGATAATACTACATAAAAATGATGGATTATTATTGATTATCATTTTTTATCTACATTTCTTATTATTTTATGTGGAACACTCTGTAAACATTGAATGAATATGTATTATCTAGACTATTAGAATTAAAGTAATGTTAGATAAAAATATATATTCATACATTTTATATTAATAATCAGCAAGTAAACCATCAATAATACCTGTTAAATTACTTAAATACTATGAACCACATTTCAGAATTCATTTAGCATCAATGAGATTATCAAATGCGTGGAAGTCTAATGTTAGCTTCAACTTATTTTTTTCATTAAAATTGGTACCAAATTGTAGAGCTATAATGACTTTTGAAAGGAAAAGATATGGACACTCAATTTCTAACGAAGAAAATAGTAAATTTAATTAAATTAACTAAATTTTCAATTAAATAATGTTAAATTATAAGAAAAAAAAACTTTAAACATGTATTTATATCTTTTTTTTTTTTTAGGTACCTTCAAAATAACTATAGGGGATGTAAAAAAACTCACCAAATCATCAAAAACTCCAGAATTTGTTCCTACTCAGTATTGTAAGAAATATTATACTTAAATATCTTATTTTTATCATAGACTTGAGCATTTTTTGTCACTGGAGTTTATTTATAAGAACATTTTTTTATAATTTATCAATAGAAAAGAAAAATACAACTTCACCACATTATTATTTTTGGATCGGTATCAATACAATACCGTACAAAATCTTAATGTTTATGAGATGGGACAAAAAACTAGATTTATAAATATTTTACTACAGATAATTTTCTATTTTCTTATAACATTAAAACTTCTACTTGTTGCTTTTTACATCATAAATTATTATGATTTTATATAATATTATAAGGTTTGTATTTTTCATAATTTTAGTATCTATGTCTTGTAACCAAGAAGCAATATCACATTTGCGTTGGATGCTACAAAAAGATATTCTTGGGCAAGATATGTTTTTGATTGGTACACCTGGTTCTCAAAGACGTCGCTTAGCTATGGCATACTTAGAACTAACTAATAAATCTGTAGAATTTGTTTCATTATCACAAGATACAACAGAAGCTGATTTAAAACAACGAAGAGAAATTGTAAGCGGAACTGCTAAATATTTTAATCAGGTAAACTGTTTCATTTTTTTTCTCAAATTTCAATGTATTTCTTCATTACAGTAAAATACTTATAATTTAATTTATAGAGTGCTGTTAAAGCTGCTATTGAAGGTCGAGTATTAGTTTTAGATGGAATTGAAAAAGCCGAACGTAATGTTTTACCAATTTTAAACAATTTATTAGAAAATCGAGAAATTCACTTAGAAGATGGTAGATTTTTATTGGCACCTAAAACTTATGACAATTTATTAAAGGTTTAGATACAATTTTCATTTTTTTATATGACTATTCGTTATAATACTATTATATTGTGTTATTAATATTGTAATTAGGAACATGGATTAGAAAATATGATTAAATGGAATTTAGTTCGGGTTAGTGAAGATTTTTTGGTTATCGCTTTAGGGTTGCCTGTTCCAACATTTAGTGGTATTCCTTTAGATCCTCCATTACGATCGCGTTTTCAAGCAAGGAATATTACCACACCATCTTATTTGGTAATATAATTTTAAAGTAGCAAATTAAAAAATAAAATATCTATATAATTTACATAATATCTATATTTTTTAATTATTTTACAAATAATGGAATCAAAGTTTATATGGACTATTCTGATTTTGTTTGAGATTAATTCTTCATTCAAAAACAATTATTTGCAGTAATTATATAGATATAGTATTATTTAAATGTTTATTTAATAAATGACTGTCAATTTGTTGCCAGCCCATCAATACTAAAATTTAATTATAAGTTCATCAAAATAATAGTCAAGGTTTTAAGTTAAAATATTTTCTAAGGTTAGTTAACTTAGCACTTAAGCACTTGCACATTATGCTTATTCACTACCTTTTCTTTGCTCCTTTTTTTTTAAACTATTATATTGATTGAAACCAGCCAATTTTTTGAAGATTGGTATATTCTGTTGAATTATTAAGTATAGTAGTTTTTCACTTGCCTTTTCTACTATGGAGCATAGTGTTTGCTGCCATTTAAATTTATTTGTGGCAATCCAGCCAACAACTAACATTGACTAGAAATGTTTAATTTCAAAATTTGATAGCATCTGAGTGCTACACTGGGCTATCTTAAAAATGACCTCTTTGCTCTGTACACTTAAATTATTCTACAAATATTAATGTGTTAATAAAATGAAAAAGAGTGTTATTCCTGGTAAATATTCTAGGAGACCATAGATTCTGTACATGCTATTATTGCCAAAAAAATGTTTGTTTAAATCAAACTTTAATGTTTTAGTTATCCGTTCTAAGTTTCATGTTTATTATCACACAATCTAAGTGTCTCACCCATTTATGTTAATTTTTTTATAAATAAAATAGTTTGTTATTGTTATTTAAAATTAATAATACTTATTTAAATAATTGTTTTATTATCTTGGCACATAGGATATTTGACATTTTAACTTTTAAAATATTTTATTAAGATTTGTCATATTTATCTACAAAATCACACAAAAAATGTTGGTAGCTAATTACCTAGTTACAAAAAAATTTTGGAGAATAAGATGCATCTCTCGACAAATTCCCTTACTCATTTCTTCATAAATATGTGTGTGTTTTATAAATTTATTACGTAGGCTGAAGATATGTTGTAAAATATTTAATTTATTTTTTATTAAATTTTCATAGTAACGAATTCCAAATTAAGACCTTAAATAGTATTAATAATATGAAAAATTAAAACAACTAAAAAATGGACTAGTTATTTTAATTGTCTTTATTTATTTATGTATTAAAGCAAAAATATAATATAGCATCAATAAATCATAATAGCGTAACATTATTGTATTACGACTTCAAAACTATGTATCTTTACATTTTGAGAAATATTTACTTTGAAAATGTTGACATATATTTTAATCGTTTTTAGAATAAAAATCTTAATTTTTTTACTATAATCAAGCATTAATAAAATAATTTCCATTGTTAGTTTTACAAGACAAAAATACATTATTTTCTTCCTTCTTAATAATTTCGAAAAATAGAGATGTATATTTTTCGGAGATAAAAATATATAGAATTTATATAGTAAAAAGAGGGTGGCCCGGCCCCAAGTAGTTGGAATACAGGTGATGAAAAAGAAAAAAATGTAGTAAAAAGAGGAGCCTATTATTTCAATTTTTAACTTATTGTTAAATTATAAACATAGTAAGTTTTTAATATAATTTTACTAATATTTTTTTAAATAATATTATTAGTACTGAAAATAAATACTGTTCAGAACAGACATAAAAAAAAGTTTTTTTTCAATTATCAAGTTATTGTAAAAACCTGAAATTAGAAAGTTAAATATGTGCCTTTTTCAAACAATCCATTAATTTACACTAATGATAAAATATTAATAATGTCATAACTAAACAATAAATCTTTAATAATAAATTGTATAATAAATAATAATTTTTTTTTTAATGTATAAATTACTGTATGTATATATTTCGGTAAACTAGCTTAAATGTTTTACTTTACTGTTGTCATTACTGGTACTTATGCTTGGCATATGAACATGCAATTCAGTTTTAAAATGTTTTGGGAAGTTTCGATTTAAATTTCTAGCTTTTTTTTTCACTTTAACTACTTGATGATCATCTACTTTATTTTCTGGAATTGAACAAGTTTTAATCAATGCTGGGTGTCTTTTAGAAGTATTTGATGCAGTCATTGGTTTTTGGCAACTGTCTATCATTCTAGGTGTCTGTAACCATTGTAAAATACGGTTTACATAATTACTACTACTATCATTGTTCTCATATTCGTGATCATTTTCATTTGTATTCGCAACACTTGATGTCCGTTTTGTTTTCACACTTCGATATAGATGACGGTTTTCCTTTTTGTTGAACTGGTCATCTTCGTCTGAAAATATAACATGTCGCACTCCTTTCACCCATGTCGTTTGCACGACTAATCGACCCCGAGACGATTTCCATCGAATGAATTCATACGAATCAGCTCGTTTCATTTTTATAAAATGACAATTTTTGTCAGACAGCGTGTGTATACTCTACGTGTCTTCTAAATTTTAAATCGTTCAACCTATAATACATTTGTAAGTTTCGTTAAAAAAAAACTTTATATATATACATAACTCGACCCCTCACGAAACCAACGACTTGCAAACATGCAAGCCATATCTTCTTATTTCTTATACCACTGCACTCCTTCACCTTCTCCATCATGTTTTATATATTCTCCGTAATGTATTATTGTCGACGACGTCGTTCCTTAATGTGACAGTGTCATTAAAACCTTAAAACGGAAAAAGAAAGTTTTCTCGAATATAAAAGTTTAACAATAAAAATTATTAGTAAAAAAAAAAAATGATTTTGCATCACGTTAACCACAGCAATTGTCATTAACAAAAAAAAATTGATTACATTTTAAACTATTCTCTGCTATAATAATTAACTAAAAATAACTGTTTGGTTAAATAATCGCGAATACTTGCATTGATACTAATTTAAACACAAATAAAATGTGTAGTTAGTCATGAAATTATTTTAATTTTACGAAAAATTTCAACCTGATTCTCGAAATTCATTTCAAAATTTATTTCAAATCTAATTTTCAGATATTTATTCCAAACATACATAATATTTTGACAATTTGATTCGTCATTTTTTGATGTTCTCGTGTGAAACTGAGGAATCTTTAGAGTCAACGTATTAAAAGATGTGTTACTCTCTCCTAATTTAGTCCTTCAAAAAACTTTAATACATAAATTAATAATATAAGTTTTAATATATTATAATCTGTATCTATCTAATTGGGTGTCTGTTCTAAATGATAACTAATTTGTAACTTGTGTATTCAGACATCGTGAAAACTATTATCTTATAATTTTTTTTACTTGTCACTTTCGACTCGCTGAAAAGTCATTTGTAACTGTAACTAGAAAAGTACAATTATTCTTTATTATTATTATTTTTGCGATAGAAAGAGTCGGTAAACTGAAAAATGTGTTTTTTAGGATATAACTTCTATATTCACATTAAATAATCTGAAACCTACAATTTTCAAATTATTTCATAATCCAGATCTATAAAAAAATGAAATTTTTCTAAACGTATCAAAATTATTTCGGTACGTTCACTTTTCAAAAATTTTTGGCAGCTTTAAGTTACAAAATAACATAATAATAGAAGGGTTTTTACACAAAAATTACATTTTTTGTTCAATTTCGACGGCCATTTGCACATAGAAGATAGGTTGTCGTCGGGACAATTTTTTTTTTAACTTTTAGTATGTAACATAAGCTTTAATTTAACATATGTTTATATGACGTAGTTTTTTTTGGAATATTTTCAAGTTAAGCTTGAATTTGAAAGCTCTAAATTTTTTTAATTTTTAAGAGTAGTGTCTTCAACTAGATACAATTTGTGATCTTTTGACGTATCGCTTAGAAAAATCGGTCCGGCGAGAGCTGAAAAAAAGTAGAGACAGACACAAAAAAATAAAAATATATAAACATCATACTTTCTCAATTTCTCATTGAATCTAAAATCGTAAGCGATTGAAAGATGTTTTACCATTAATAAAAACGCGTGTTTTAAACTATTTAAATTATCGACGTTAAAAAGTCCGTTTAAAGGGAATATTTCAATCAACCCTAACACTTATTTTATCGCTGATATTTAACTCACTAATGTCTATAGCGTGACTAAACATATTATAGTTATTCAAGAAGTACTTACTTTAAAACTTTACGGTATAACTTCAATATTAATTTACCTAAATAATAGTTAACAATAAAATCTATTATTAAAATTGTTTCTAAACAGACGATGTTAAATGACTTAATGACGGATTATTCTACGATTTCTAAAGACAAACTGGAACAACTTTTATCTTGTGCTTATGCTTTAGCCTCGCCAGAATCAACAGAACTCGGTTTACACTATTTTCCGATCGAAAACTTACCCATTGCTGCAAAATTAATCGTAAGATAAAAAAAAATTTCATTTTAATAAATTGTTCGTGTTTTAAATCGAAGCATAATATTAGCTTATTAAGTAGTGTTATTATTTTTGATTGATTAGTACTTTATTAATTTTTCTAGCATAATAATTCTTCAGTATCGACCAATTATTTATTAAAACGACTTTATCCATATGATAGCTTTATGAATGTTGATGGAAAGAATGCTGTGAATAATATTGTTTCTTCATTTTGTGAAGAAGAAGATGAAGCTATAAAATGTTATGTCTCATCTGTTGGGCAACCAGAAAATAGTCTAATTAAAATTGTTCTTTCAAATTCTAAAAGTTTTACTGTAAGTTAAATGTTGTATTTACTTTGTTTTTATTGAATTATGACAAAAAAAGATTATTTTGATCATTTTGATCAAAGTTAATTTTTTATTAAATAATGTAGAGAAATAAATTAAAAATAAAATTTTTTGCATTTTGTGATCATCAATATTTTCTATAAAAATTCTATTTTTATTAATACATCAGCATGTTAATTAATTTTAAGATTTAACAATTTTTTCTCTTAGTTATAATAATACTGTTTAAATGGTAATTAAAAAAAAAAATTGTTTGAGTTTTTACTTGATCTTGAGTATCATATTAATGATGTCTTGATGGAGAGGGATTTAGATGTTGCACCACTATTTAAACTATTTTATAGTTATAATAGACGATTTTTCAACAATACAAAAAAAACGGTTGGGTGGAAGTGTGTTATATTAATATATTTATAATTTAGTTGATTGTGTTAATTAAGTGGCACTTATAATATTGCAGGTTCCTTGTGGAGAATTTTCTTCGAATCCTATAATTCAAGATCATGTGAAAACGAATTATCAAGATAAAATTTTAGCTGATCTTGCACTCAGTCATTCTGCTAGTGATATTTGTATTATAGGGCCTAGGGGTTGTGGTAAAACAGCTATTGTTAATCAATTTGCTGCAATGTTTAACTATGATATAGAAACAATTTCTTTGTATCAAGTAAGATGCAATTATAGTATTTAATTTAATTTAATTACATGTAATAAGTACTAACTTGTATATTTAGGATTTAACATCAAGAGATTTGATTCAACATAGATCTACCTTACCAAACGGTGATACAATTTGGAAGTACAGTCCATTAGTGGTAGCAGCTCTCGAAGGAAAACTAACAGTTCTTGATGGGCTACATAGATTACATTCTTCTACATTGACTATTTTACACAGGTATAAATTATTGTAATATCATTAAAATGTTGAGTAGATAAAAGTATCAAATAATTTTTTTTGAAAAATTAAATATTTTCACTATTTTAAAGACTAATTCAAGATCGAGATCTCCAGCTTCATGATGGTACTAGATTATTAAGATCAGATAGGTATGACAACTTAGCTAGTAAACTTGGAACAAGTACTTTAGAAAAAGCAAATATTCTAAGAATTCATCCTGCCTTCAGAATCATTGCTTTAGCAGAATCACCTGGTATGAATAATTAATAATTTTTAGTGCCTATTTCAGTAGTTTTAATGTAACTGCCTAAAAGTAACATCTGAGTTTTATCATCATAATACGAATTCCGATTAACTTTTAAGAAACTGTTTAATTATTTTACTGGAAATAAAATTAGTAAAACTATTTACAAGTCCTTAATAGTAGATAATGACACAATTTATTTTAAATTAATTTTTGTATACTTTGTTTATACATTTAGAAATCAAGATTCCTGGTAGTAACTAATGTAAGGTTAATTCTAATTTATTATATAATCTACAGGTGGTACTATTCCTCAGTGGATCACACCTGAAGTTCTGAACCTTTTTTTGTTTCATGAAATCAGACCTTTATCTGCTATTGAAGAACTGAGTGTTATTCAAAACCTTGTAAGTATTTGATTTTTTTTTTTTTTTT